TCAGGACATAACTGTCACCTCTGACGAGGGAAAGGTGAGAGAGAGAGAGGGGAGGGAAGGGAAAGGGGGAGAGAATGTATCCAGCAATGTTGGTGTGTGTGTTCATACACTGTACATGTACATGTACATACACGTGCACCTGCTACCAGCTGTTCTTTCTATTTGTTTCAGGCTAAAGTCCTTTCTCTCCTTCTCCAGGCTCCAGCTGACAAAGAACTCATTGATAAACCTCGCATCATCACCCTTAGCAGACCGGAGGGGGTGGGGCTTGGGTTCAACATTATCGGAGGAGAAGAGGAAGTCGGTATTTTCATCAGCGTGATCTCAAAAGAAGGCGTGGCTGCTGATAACGGTCAGTTACGAGTTGGAGACATGATCTTAGAGGTGAGGTTTAATTGTAGTGGGCGGGGCTGGTTTATGGTTTCCATGACAACAGGTTAACGGGCAGAATTTGGAGACCTGGTCACATGAGACTGCAGCCCAAGCTCTGAAGACAGCCGGAGAGACTGTCACTCTCAAAGTAGTTTATAAACCAGACGGTAAGTTATGTATAATTTTAATGGGTCTTCGTTTCAATTTTTATAAATTACCCAAGAATTATGCAGTCATTATTATTTTTTAATTAATTTTAGAATTTGAGGAATTTTATCGAAAGATGAACATCAGACCAGACCAAGATGTGAAGACACTTTATGTCAGGTAAGGACCACATCACGCCTACATGTACCTAGTTAATATGTAATCTTTAATTCATCAAAATTAAAGTAGCAGTTGTAATATAAGCTAGTCCATTATTAAAGTTCAATTTTACAAGTTTTGGCAGCATCAATGCACTTAGAGCTTCCTAGAATAACTGATGGTCTATTCACTGCATGTATGAGAGTGTACAGTGTACCTGTATAACATGTATGAGAGTGTACTTGTACCTGTATAACATGTATGAGAGAAGAATTTACAGTAATCATTGGTTCAATGGATCACTATAACTGTGTGCATGTGCACAGCATGAGTCTTTAATGGTAACAAGAGGAAGAGACTGGGGGAGTAGATGTACTGACAATTAGATATAGTATTTTATTGGTATCAGTAATGCTGTATTATTCCTAATAAGGATGAGGGAGATTTATGTGGAATGATTGCTATTTGCCTGATACTATGTGGCTTTGTCTATTTGTGTATCAGTTTTCTTGTAAGTCTTGTTCAATCCTATAATGTGTATCTGTGCTGTGTACAGTACCATTAACTGATGTGTGTGTACATGTTCTTATGATATGTTTATTTGGTTGATTCTATTAGTTTCATTATCTCTTTGTGTGTTTGTATTTATAACTAACTCACATTTATATGTACTGTACATGTACATTAATACTGTGAGTGATTGATTGGTCACACTCTGCTCTTATTTAATAATTAGGTTTGTATTTCCTTTACTTGTTTGTGAGTAATTACCATACAGTCATAATAACATTTTAATAATAATAATAATAATAATAATAATAATAATAATAATAATAATAATAATAATAATAATAATAATAATAATAATAATAATAATAATAATAATAATAATAATAATGATAATATCTTTATTTCTTCAGGGCTTTATTCTCTTATGATGGGAACAATGATATGGACAGACCTGGTGAAGCTGTCTCCTTTCAACAGGGAGACATACTTCATGTACTCAATGGCAGTGATG